CATAACTATATTCGTCTTGATAAGGCAAAAGGCTATAAAAAGTGTTTGACTTCTGTCTAGCCGTTGACGAGATATGCTAGGATTTGTTGTCTAATCCTTCTCGATTTCAATCGGCAAGCAAGTGCATCAGAATAAAAGGCACGCTCAACGTCAGAACAGAAGGGGAGTATGTTTACTCGAGCAATTGAGTAATTGTATAGTGGATTCTTTGCAGTTGCCTCTCTCCGTAAAATAAAGCGAAAAGTGTTAGAAAAGTAATAAACATTTTGTATTTATGCCAATTTAATTCTAAATATTTTTTTGGTGCCAATTTAGTCCTAAACCTTTTGTCATTGTGCCAATTCAGTCCTTCCGGCTAATTTTGACAGGATTTTGCTGATGTGGACACCGGCCAGCCTATGTGGCACCACCGGCGATGACATGGATAAATTTTAATAATTTTTATTTTTTTTTCTTACCCTTTCTTCTTTCTCCAGCCGGTCGACGGTCCGGCGACCGGCTAGACAAGGTTTGCCAGCCTCTGGCGAGCCCCGCCCTGCCGGCCACTGGCGAGGGCAGGCTCGCCCTTGCCGAATCTGGCGAGGGTCGAGCCTCGCCGGCCATGGGGGAGGCCCGACCTTGCTAGATCCGGCGAGGTCGTGCCTCACCCAACCTAGCTCGAGGCTGCCCTTGCGGCCATCCGGCAAGGGCTCGAGCGTTGCGCTGGGCTGGGTGAGGTTCGCCATGGGTGAGGCCCGACCTTGCCAGAACTGGCGAGGTCATGCCTCGCCCAGCCGCTGGCGAGGCTCGCCTTCGCCGTAGCTGGCGAGGGCGAGCCTCGCCAATAGCCGGCGAGGCAAGCCTTGCCATTGGCTAGCGGGGCGAGCTGACCTTGGCCTCCAGTCGGTCGCCGGTTGGGCGACCGGCTGGGGGAAGAAGAAAGGGTAAGAGAAAAAAAAGAAAATCGAAAAATATTATTAAAAGCTATCTACGTCATCGCCGGCGGTGCCGCATAGGCCGGCCGATGTCCACGTTAGCAAAATCAGGCCAAAAATAGCCGGAAGGACTGAATTGGCACAAAGATAAAAGGTTTACTACTGAATTGGCAGCAAAAAAAGGTTTAGGACTAAATTGGCATCAATGCAAAAGATTTAGGACTTTTTTGACACTTTTCCCGTAAAATAGATATCGACTCTAGGACCGAATCGTGAATATCTCCGGTGATTTTTTCTTTTATCATTCCTCGTTGATTTTTCTAATAATTTATTCATCTCATGTTACATTTGAATTGTAACATCCGTTAATTTATGTGTTACTTATGATGTGAGCACCATGAGAGAGTGAATAAATCATCGAATCGACGGCGGAAGCCATCACATTGTACTCTCTAATGATCCAATTAAAAACTAGCGCTCAAATTGCGGCTAGTTATCAGCAAAAGAACACGAGATCATTTATGTTCTCAACAAAATAGAGAGAAGTGCATCAACCATGATCATCCAATTTATCAAGAAAGCAACTATATTCCTGAGTTTAAGGCAGAATGATCTTGAGAGAGAGAGAGAGAGAGAATGAAAGTTGAAGAAGCTTGAGATTTGAAGCAAGGAAAGCCTACTTATAATGGTTAATCACATCACATTTATAGACATTAAGGCACATTAAGGATTGTTAAAAAATGACCCGAGGTTTAGTGAGAAACGTCGGGGTTGATTCATCGATAGAAAAGTTTTAAGTTATTGTGGCCATCAACAAAGGAATTATGCGGTCAAGAACTGACGAGCGCCCATTGCGGGTTCGGCATCGGACAATTCATGATGCCATCGATGATAGAGAGAGAACAAGGTAGTTGTCAGTGCACAACGACTGGTCAATGATGTTTGAAGAAAATCAAACTGAGAGAAATCTTGACGATCGTAAGTGCTTATGGATAAGAATATGCAGTTAAGGATCGCGAGCACGGAGCCGAGAATCTCGGAGGCAATTAGGGTTTGTGACTTACAAAGAAACCGCTTATTGACGGTTGCACTTTGTACAAGGATATATAAGGCCAAGCAGAATCAATTGTAAAGGATTCGCAATCAATCATGCTTATCAATTTTTTCTGCAATTTACTTATTGATTCTTTCTTCGCGATTCTTTATTCTTTATCATTTTAGTATTCATAGTTCATCCAAGATCCATTCTTTTCCGTCTGAATCGCCACAAAACCCAATTCATTTTAAAAAACCAAAGATCATTCCCTTTGGTGAAAGGTCTTTCGCCGAGGATATTTTCAGGGAAACAAGGATTAAGATGAAAAATATAGATATTTTTATTGGGTGAATACTCGGGAGAAAGGGAGTGATCCGGGGAGATACCGCCAATAATATTCCCTTCTTTGGCCAACCATGCAGGGATATTCTTGCGCAAAGACGAAAATAAAAAATAAATAAAAAAAGAGTGCTGGATGTATAAACCTTGAATTTTAAGTATAGAATGTCTTAAATACTAAAAAACGAAACCGAAAAATAATTTGGTTAGAAATGGAAAATTAGGCGACCAACGCGATGAGTTTCTTCTAGAATCATCGGTGATGGACAATACAAAAACCGTGAAATAGAAGATAAAATTGCAAGACCAATTCCGAGAAAGAAGTGATGGGAATTTCGCTGTCAATATCTTTGGAAAACCGGAGAGTGTATTCCATCTCCATATGCCTCGACGAGATGAAAAATTCTATCCATATAATTAAGGGTGAGCATCGGTCCCCGTTCCACTCGGGAACCGGCGGTTTTGGGCAATTCCATGGAGCCGAAAATTAATAAAACAAGCCCGACCCGACACTACTTTCAACCTCAAATTCGGGTCTGAAATTGCCGTATATATTGACGGTCCGTATTAAACATGCATTTTTTTAAAACACCAGGCTTAATTTATCATAACTTGAAAGTAGGCCTACATGCTTAGGTTGCGTTTGGTTCGGCTTTTGGGAAAGCCTTTGGGAAAATGCAAACGACGTTAAGTGAAAGGGTTTTTTCGAAATACAAATAGTGTTTGGCAACATGTAATGTGAAAGTGCATTACGAAGCAACTTTCGTTTAAATAATGTTTGAAAAAAATCATGCTTGTTAAGGCCACAGGCGAGGCTCGGCCTTGCTCGCTCAAGGACGGCGACCTCGAGCGAGGCCGAGCCTCACCTCACCGGCCTTGGGCGAGGCCGGTGCCTTGCCAGATATGGCGAGACGAGGCAAGGCCTCGCTTGCTTGAGGCTAGCAAGCTTTGGCATGGCCTAGCCTCGCCTTGCCTTGCTGGCGTCGAGCGAGCGAGGCCAAGCCTCACCTCGCCAAATCTAGCTAGGCACGAGCCTCGGGCGAGCCCGGATCTGGCGAGGCCTCGCTCGAGGCTGGCAAGGCGAGGCGAGGCCTCGCCCCAGGCCGGCGAGGCCAAGCCACGCCTGTGGCCAATCGCCGACTGTCGCCGTGGCCAGCAACCGGCCAGAGAAGAAGGTCCAAAAAAAAGAAAAGAAAAGAGAAATAGAAAAAGAAAAAACAAAAAGGTAATTAAAAATTAGAATTAAAAAAAAGAAAATTAAAATGAATGGTTAAAGAATGAGGGTGGAAAATGTTTTCCTCTTTTCAAAAAGAGAAAAATATTTTCCACACTTTTGAAGGCGTTTTGTCCATTGAGGGAAAATATTTTCCATGGTCAGTTTATTTTCCGTGAAACGAATGCCAGAAAACCCGGAAAATGATTTCTCGGAAGTTATTTTCCTTGAAAAGAACGAAGCCTAAGTGAAAGGGTTTTTCTGAAATACAAATAGTGTTTGGCAACGTGTAATGTAAAAGTGCATTACGAAGCAACTTTGGTTTAAATGATGTTTGAAAAAATCACACTTGTTAAGGACTTTTGCTAATTAAATAAATGAACTCAAGCCCTTCTTTGGATGCGACCGAGACCAGCAACCGTCACCTAAGGTCTCACGATGCTTACCAGCGACGCTGCACAAATTGAAAATGACAAGGGTATTTTCAGAATTTCGAAAGTTCAGCGAGGGCAAAGTAGGAAGAAAAGATACATTAGCATTCTAGAAATGCTCAAAACTCAAATGGTAAGGTCTTCACATGCCTTGAGCTTTCGGCATTTTCGGAATGCTAAAATCATGAATTAATGAAATTTGGCCAGTTTCCTTTTTTGCCTTCAAATATTGAAAGTCCAATTTTGCCAATTTTAAAAAACAAAACCCTGCTTCTCGGTCACGACTGCTCTTTGCTCCCTTGCGACTGCTCCGTTCAACTTCTCTTCCTCCCTCGCGACTGCTCCTTGCTCTCTCCCTCGCGACAAACAAAAAAGATTTAAAATTGAATTGACATAATTGTAATTTGTTTATGATTTTTTTGATAATTTTCCCTTTTATTACGAGATAAACCAGAATCGACCACACCGTGCAGCGACATCAAGACAAGAAGATAAACATAAGATCTGTCTAGTGAAACATGCTAAGTTCCAAGGTATTTAATTTAACCTTTGCATCCAATAGCCGAAGGACGCTGGGGACGCTCCGAGGCGCAACAATGGCAAACAAGGTTCACGTTTCGCCTCAAACGCAATCGGAAAGGTTAATACTCTTATTTTTTTCGTTGTTGTTATTGTTCCCTTCACTGGCTGACTAGAAACAAGAATCCCTTGTGTGGTTACACTGTTACTGGACTCAGCGAAAAATTGTCCGTTCTTCTAACCTCACTGGCTCCTGTACCGATTGCATCGTACAGTGTCAAGATCGCCACGTGAGCCCTAATTGGTCGTCCTAGGTTTTTTTGTATATTATACTCGGACACGGTCTAGGAGGGACTCATTGAGCTCAACGTTCTCGATTCTCCATTTTTGTACGCTTTCGCGTACAAGTCGTCACCACCTAAGCAACATGCTTCTCAAAGCCCATGTGTTGTTTATATACCCTCCACGCGCACGGCGTGTGGATTCCAGAATGAGGCCACACTCTCCCTCCACTCGGGCACTGGCGATCTTGCACCTTGGTATTCCTCATGGACTCGTCGCAGACTCCTGGGGGGCGGGGCGAGCTTCCGTCGTTGACGGTGGGGGAGAAGGCCGAGACCGACTTTCGGAGTACTGAGCTGTTGCAGCGGGCTCAGTGGCTCCGAGCCGCCATTCTTGGGGCTAATGACGGGCTGCTGTCGACGACTTCGTTGATGCTCGGCGTCGGTGCCGCGAAGGATGATCGTCGGTCCATGGTTCTCTCGGGCATCGCGGGGGCTCTCGCGGGCTCTTTGAGCATGGCGGTCGGCGAGTTCGTCTCGGTCTCGACCCAGAGAGAGATCGAGCGGGCGAACCTTGAGAAGCGCGCCTCTGTGACCAAGATGGAAAAGCCAGAAGAGATTATGATCACCGTCGCTGCTACTAAGCACGACGGGACCGACTCAGCCGAGCCGACTCAGCGGACCCCTTCCAGAAACACTCCGTGCAGGATGCTGATATGCAAAATATCGGAAAAGAGTTCGCCGGCAACAACAGGGGAGCCTCAGTTGATCCCGCTATTCTCGCCGAGATCGCCTGCACTCAAGGTGCTTGCCGAAAACTCTGCGAAAGCAAAGCAGGAAAGAATCGACGGAGAAGAAGCTTTACCCAACCCTTACAAAGCTGCGGCAGCGTCTGCTTTGGCTTTCCTTTGCGGGTCGTTGTTTCCTCTGCTGCCGGCCATCTTTGTTGCTCAAAACACCCTCAGAATTGTGATTGTTGCGGTGGTTGCGTCCATAGCTCTTGCTCTGTTCGGAGGCATCGGAGCTCATCTCGGCGGTTCGCCGGTGAAAGTCTCGGCTGTGAGGGTTTTAGTTGGTGGGTGGATTGCCATGGGAATTACTTACGGGTTGCTCAAGCCTTTCGACAAAGATGATGTTGAGTAGTTTCAATGGTGGCCATTTCTGTCATGTCAATTTCTCTGTTGATGGCTAAAATGACAGAATGTTAATGATACTTGATACCCATAAATACGCGACTGCTTTTCTGTTCTCTGTCTTCTTCATCGATGCTTGATAGATGATAACATATAGATGCGCAGCTGCTTTTCCATTGTCTTCTTCTTCTTCTTCTTGTAGCTGTACTGTCCACGGACCTGAGGCTGTACGTTCCACGTCGTACTGTAGAATACGGTACATAAGAGGTCGCGTTGTACGTGTAATGTTAAATAAGCTTTTATAAGGTCACTTAATGATGCCAGATTGGTAAAATAAAGACCTTTGTCTAGTAGAAATTTAAAAAAAAAGGTGCGGGTGGATTTAATGTCAATATTTGTTTGAAGTATTTTTAATTAAAAAAAATCAAAATGTGCGTACAAAAAATCTTAATTGTATAAAATGTTATAGTTTAAAAGCATTCCACGCATGCCCCTGAAGCACTGACCTCTGGTAAAATAAAAACTCAATATACCTATAAAAAAATGTCAATCTGAGATAAGTCATATAATATTCGTCAACCATCCATTTGATGTCTTTTAATTGAAATGAACTTTGGCTACATGGGTAAATCTAACTAGTGGTCACTAAACTTTGTTGAACCTTTACATTTAGGTCATTACAATTTGATTTCACTCACTCGGTGGTCTAAACTTTCGATCTATTTTGTTCTTTTCAATTGATGCATTTTAATCAAAATTCAAGGAAGTTTTCCATCAAAGCGTAGATGTGCGGCATTGGTGACGTGGATCCAGAAGCAAGTTTTCCTTTTTTTTTTCTCAAGGCTTGATTCCATAAAATAAAAAAAACTCAACTTTAGGTCCTATCACAATCCTGCCTCTTTCGACCAAAAAAAATATCCCACCTCGAACTTTTTTGTTTAAAAAAACTCACCAACTTTCATTCTAGTTCAAGATCTGCCTCGTTAACCCTATGTCCAAAAGTCGCCTTTGGTTTCTTCAAAATTATGGTGGTTGTTGTTCCTGAGGTGTTGATAAAGATGCATGTTCTAATAATAAATCTCTAACTGACCTTGACGCTGATAATTTTGAGGAAACCAGTGGCAATTTTTGAATGGCGGGTTGATAGGGGCAGATTTGAGATTAGAGTGAAAAATGGTGATTTTTTTTTAAGAAAAAAAAAGTTAAAGACATTTGACCTAAAATTGGGGTTGTTTAGGAAATTAGGCATTTTATTTGCAAGAAGCAATAAACTATTACATAAGTGCAACATATATACTTGCTTACACGAAAATTTAACCAGGTCTTCAACATGAGCAGACACGTGGCTAGAAGACAAAAGGTTATCAACACTAGATATATGACCCATTGTTGACGATCGAAAGAGTGGTCAATATTAATATACATCGATGACCGTAAATCAACTATTGATATATGTAACACTCTAAATTAACCACTAATATATTATCCGCTTTGACCCGTCCCATGTCAAGTCTCACGGTTTTGTCCTTTGGCGTACAAGTGAGCACATTCCCGGGAGGTCACTCATTCTGGTAGTGTTCCCACTTGAGCATGCTTGTTACATCAAAAAGCACATCTGTGAGTTAATTATAGTTTTCATATATATATATGTTGTAAAATATTGCGTTGCAAGTATATAATAGAGAGAATAGAGATTAAGTAGAGAAAGCAGATAAACACCAAAGATATATATTTTCTCTTTTCATTATGTTCTAATTTCTTACACAATGACCAAAACTAAACTCCTATTTATAAGAAAACAAGAATGCACATATCATTAATGTCAATGTATTGAATACATACATTGAATAGGGAGATGAACATTCATTGGAGATTGTACATAGAATGTAGGTTACAAATGTACCATAATAGGTACATTGAATATACATTCATGTATGTAGGTTACAAATGTACCATAATAGGTACATTGAATATAATGAATATTCATTCATGTATTTCATAACACTCCCCCTTGAATATTCATTGTATTCATTATATTATGAATGTGCATTGAATGATACTGCCTCATTAAAAACCTTAAGCTGGAAAAACCCAGTGGGATAAAAACCGGACAAAAGGGAAAAAGAGTACACAGCACAAATTTTAAGATCTCTCCCTTTTATAGATGCGTTAATTGCCTCGTTAAAACTTTAAGCCGGAAAAACCCTGTGGGAAAAAATCGGACAGAAAGAAAAAGAGTGCAATGCATAGTTCATAATATCTCCCCCTCAATTTGAGCTATATAGCCACTGCTGGGGCTAGTCAATCTTGCATCTTATGAACTCGCCACATACCAATGCCATATACTAATTTCTCAAAAGTTGACGTTGGCAATGATTTGGTAAAAAGATCTACAAGATTATTTATGGATTGAATCTGCTTAACATCAATTTGTCGACTTTCTTGGAGTTCGTGCGAATAGAAAAATTTTGGTGAGATATGCTTTATCACCTTTGATATATCCTCCCCTAACTTGTGCAACACAAGCAGCATTATCTTCATAAATTATAGTGGGAGAATTTGTAACCGATGTTAAACAACAAGAATTGTGAATATGTGTTATAACGGATCTTAACCAAACACACTCTCTTCCAGCTTCATATAGAGCAATAATCTCAGAGTGGTTGGAAGATGTAGCTACTAGCGATTGCTTCGTAGAACGCCAAGAAATGGCGGTGCCGTTATAACAAAATAAATAACCGGTTTGAAAGCGAGCTTTATGTGGATCGGATCTATATCCAGCATCAGTATATCCAACTAAACCAGAGGTAGTGGAATCCTCGGAATAATATAATCCCAAATCTATGGTTCCTCGGAGATAACGAAAAATATGTTTAATTCCATTCCAGTGTCTCCGAGTTGGCTCCGAACTAAAATGTGCCAATAAATTTACAGCAAAAGCGATGTCTGGTCTCGTACATTGTGCCAAGTACATCAAAGCCCTAATTGCATTGAGATATGGTACTTCAGGACCAAGTATCTCTTTATCAGATTCTCTAGGACGAGACTGATCCTTTTTGGGATCTAGAGACCTTACAACCATAGGGGTGCTCAATGGGTGAGTCTTGTCCATGTTGAAGCGTTTAAGTAATCTTTTAATGTATGCTAATTGATGGACGATTATTCCATTTGCTTTATGCTCAAGCTCTAGACCAAGACAAAGTTTGGTTTTACCCAAATCTTTAACTTCAAATTCCCTTTTCAAATACTCAGCAGTTTTAGCTAACTCTTCTGGAGTTCCAATTAAATTTATATCGTCAACATAAACTGCTACAATAGCAAATCCGGTTTCTGATTTCTTAATAAACACGCATGGGCGGATAGGATCATTCTTGTACCTTTCCTTAATTAGGTACTCACTTATGCGTTGATACCACATGCGACATGATTGCTTTAACCTATACAAAGATCTTTGCAATTTTATTGAGAATAAGTTACGGGGAGTGCATGCATCAGGCATTTTGAATCCCTCAGGAATTTTCATATAAATATCCGAGTCTAATGAGCCATATAGATATGCCGTCACAACGTCCATAAGACGCATTTCCAATCTTTCAGAGAGTACTAGGCTAATGAGAAAACGAAATGTAATCATATCCATCTCAGGTGAATATGTCTCATCATAATCAATCCTAGGTCTCTAGGAGAATCCTTGGGCAACGAGTCGGGCTTTATACTTGACAACCTCGTTTTTCTCATTTCGTTTCCGGACAAATACCCATTTATATCCAACAGGCTTTACATTATCTGAGATGCGAGTTATGGGTCCAAAAACCTCTCGTTTGGCTAGGGAAGCTAATTCAGCCTTAATTGCTTCCTCTCATTTAGACCAATCTTGCCTTTGACGACATTCGATAATAGATTGCGGCTCACAATCATCATTCATAATTTTATGAGCAACTGAGAATGCAAAAGCATCATCAATGATGATTTCATTCCGATCCCAAATCTCATTACAATATGTAATGGGATTCTCAGTATTCCCAGGGTTGGTGATCTTTTCATGGGTTTGTACCTCTTCAGAGGCAATAAGCTCTTTGGGAGCAAGCACAACACCAGGCTCTTCTGGAGCAGATTCCTGATTTTTCCCCCTTCGTTTTCGAGGAACAGTGTCTTTTGATCCTATCGGTCTACCGCGTTTCAAGTTTGGGGGATTTTGATCCATTTTAGCTTGTCCTTCGGGAACAGCTATCCTAGCTGGAGCATTTGCAACTGGAATATGAGACTTCATTACCTTAGTAGCATCATTAAATGTGTCAGGAAGTCTATTGACCATAGCCTGTAAATGGATTATGCGCTGCACCTCGTTTTCACACTCAAGAGTTCTTAGGTCTAATTGAGATAAATTTTTCTCATTCCAGGAGAAAACCTTAATTCATTTTTGCTTCGCAGCCATGTCAGTTTTAGGTGTCCCAATCGATGGAAACATAGTCTCATTGAAATGACAATTTGCGAATTTGGCAGTAAAAAGATCACCAGTAGTTGGTTCTAAAAACTTAATGATGGACGGTGAATTAAACTCAACATAAATGCCCAAACGGCGTTGGGGACCCATTTTCGTTCTTTTTGGCGGTGCTATAGGCACCTGTACTGCACAACCAAAGGTGCGTAAATGTGAAATATCAGGTTCATAATCAAGAACTATTTGAAGGGGAGATTGTAAGAGACTAGCAGTGGGGCGCAATCTTATTAGGGCTGCCGCATGCAAAACTGCATGACCCCATGCTGTATCGTTGAGATTCGTTCTCAATAATAGAGTGCGGGCAATGATTTGGATATGTTTAATCAAGGATTCTGCCAATCCATTTTGAGTATGAACATATGCGACCGGGTGCTCAACCTCGATTCCGAGTGAAGCACAATACGTATCAAAACTCTTTGATGTAAATTCACTAGCATTATCCATCATTATGCTTTTAATTGGATAATCAGGGAATTGTGCCCGGAGCTTTATAATCTGCGCAAGTAAAC